ATAAAAAAATGATTTCAATTTTACAATTCTGCCGCTTTTTTCTTATTCCATCTCCACTGCTTTGAGTAATACCTGAAGTATAAAACTTATTTATCTACAGTTTTAAAGTAATCATTTAGGATTACTGCTCTTAATGACGTTCAAATGCATTGACGCACTTTATAAGTTAGGGCGGACAAAATTGAATTTAAAAAAAATTAAACCTACCGCGACACCTACTGGAAATGATCAAAGTTATTTGGTTATTCTCAATCCTGAAAGCACACTCACGGTGCAAATAGAAATCAACACACGTGCGCCGGTGTTTACGTTAATTTACCTTGTGTTTATTACCTTTTTTAGCATTTAAAACTTCATATCAACGAGCCATGAAGGTATGACAGGTTTTACTTTTAAAAATTGCTTATCTATAACATTAGTTTCTTTACAGGCTTCGGGCTTTTCAATTGAAATACACAAGTTGTCTGAAGAAGAATTAGTGTTTGACGTTAGAGGATACCACGTTTCTTTTGCCAATGCCATTAGAAGAATCTTGTTGGCTGAAATTCCGTCGATGGCAATTGAAAATGTAGAACTATACAACAACACAAGTGTGATGCACGATGAGTTTCTTGGACTGCGACTTGGACTCATTCCAATCAAGGTTGATGCTAAACAGTTTGAATTCCAAAAAGGTGCGTGTTGTTTTATCTCTTTCATAAATGTTGTCAATAACGTAAATTTTTAATTTTTTTACAGGACAAGTTAATACGGAAAATAATACTATAATCTTCCAGCTGAACGTTCGTAATTTACCAACTGCCAAGGAGAACCTTCATGTGTACAGTCGTGATCTTGAGTGGCAGCCTCTTGGTGATCAGAAAGAAACTTTTCCCGACGGAATTGCACCAGTTGATGGGGACATTCTTATTGCCAAGTTAGCTCCAAGTCAGAAAATTGAAGCCACACTATACTGTCGCAAAGGAATCGGTAAAGATCATGCAAAGTTTTCCCCAGTAGCTGGGTGTTTTTATCGCCACTTGACAACGTTTGACTTGGCAAAAGACAAACCTCTAACTGCTGAAGAAGTTGAAAAGCTAAAGACATGTTTCCCTAAAGGACATTTTAAGTTTCCTGGAGACTCGACGTCAGATTATGACAATGAAAGAGTGAAATCTTTACAAATTGTTAACAATCGATTAGAATCTAGTGAGCTTACCTTTAAGAGTTGTCCCAGTTTGGAGGAGAAGCTTCTCATTACAACGTCTGATGATACTTTGACATGTAAGTTTTTTATCTCTCTAAACTAGTGCCATGATCCTAAACTGTGCATTTTTTTGCAGTTACTGTCGAATCGATTGGAATGGTACCAGCTTACGAATTAGTTCTTGATGCCATTGACACTCTTCGCAGTAAATGCTCTCGATTTCAAAAAATGGTTTCCAAGAAACGTCGTTCGTAGTGCTGAAATAAACGTTTTAAAAACTTTTAATATCGGAAGCTTAGGAGTATATCNATGCTCTCGATTTCAAAAAATGGTTTCCAAGAAACGTCGTTCGTAGTGCTAAAATAAACGTTTTAAAAACTTTTAATATCGGAAGCTAAGGAGTATATCACAAATTGACTGGCCGTTAGAGGTTACAAAATGTACTTGGTGTGCTTTCCAGTGGCCACTAGTTCATTGTTTTTGTCTTGGTTGTAGATGTTTGCCGTCAGGAAGGCCATTTTACGACCAACTCGAAGTGTTTCAGTCTCCATTCGAATTCGCTGACCATCTTTGACTCCAGATATGTAGGTCATGCTTAGATCAATACTAACAGAAGTCGGAACCTCCTTTCCATCGGCGAGAAAATGCGAATTCAAAGCTAGTGTTGACAGATGGTCAAACAAAGTGGCCATGAATCCGCCGTGCAGAGTGCCTACAATATTACATTCGGCGGAAGTAACTTTCATATCGGCCAGCAGTTTTCCCTTGAAAACATCGCCAATTTCAACCTAAATTCAAGGTGAAGGTTAGAGCTAAGCAAGTTGGGAGAACAGTGCTAACCATATGGAGGACACGATTGAAGGTGCCCGTGTCAACGGCTAGTCGGTACATAGCAATCACTTGACTTCGAAGGGACATCTTCAGCGCGGTCTTTGGGAGATTTAATGTTGCAGAAGTAAAAGCTGGTCAACACAAACACAAACAAACCGGTGAAAGTTTGCGCATGTGCAGTGAGGCCAGCGAACTGTTCCAGTAACAAAACCAAATCGAACTTCATTTGATCTCCCGTCGTCAGCTGATCAAGATCGTCATGAATCCCGTACTGGCTCACTGTGGCAAGTGCTACGAAGTTCCTGGTCCTGGAACTGCTTCCAAGTTTTTTCTCACTGGTTGCCGACAAGTATACTGCCAAAAGTGCCTCGCCACTCAAGGAGCCTGCAAAAAATGTGGCAAAAACTGTCCCCACCGGTCAGTTGTCAATTCCACAGTGGCTCATGTATTTCAAGATCCGAGCTCTAAAGTCAATCAACTGAAACAATCCTTAAGTTTTCAGTCCACTCGTTACAACACCTTTTCCAAGTATTTAAGTGCTCGCCAAACTAATTTGATGAAAGCTCACAAAGAAAGGGATGCTAAAATTCAACGACTAGAAAATCAAATCACTGATCAAGAGAATCAAATTAGCTTGCTAAAACAACAGCAAGCTAATTTCCAAGCAAATTTGCCAAATGTTGACAGTGACATGTCACAGGATTTGCAATCTTCATTTGTGACGAATGCAGTGAATAACGCAATTGGCCATGAGCGAAATAATACAGTTGATAATTTTCTAATAAACATCGGCGACAACATTCCACAGGACTTTTTTCCACTCGACTATTTTGGCGACCGTCCAACTAATAGAGCTAACTACGAAAGTCAACGACACCATCCCAGTTCAAATTTTCACTTCTATGAACGAAAGCCAGAGCCACGTTCTTTTTTGGCGAAACATTCAGCAAGCAACAAGTTTCGTCATTCACGCCACTGATTACTTTTTCATTACCACATACACTAACGATTTATTTTGTTTATAATACCTTTAATTACAATAGTGTCAGATAAATAATCTTTCCATACATAACCAATTTATTTATAAAATCCTTAATTACATATTTTGTTTAAATAATGAGTTGACGACGAAAAAAGTAAAGATGGCTCTAACACTTGATTACAAAAAAGTTACCATGTTTAACTCGAAAAGATTCGATTGTCTTTTCTAAGCGGCACTGCTTTGTAGATGACCGACTTTTCAATCTTTCTCTTGTTGACAGAGTACGGCACTGAGTGGTAGTTGGAGCCATTCTGGCTTGGTGTGGGCTTCCGTCGAGCCTTCACGGCAGCACGACCAGCCTTTCCATTTGATACGGCTGTAATATGCAAACAGAGATTTAGTGTGAAGAATAGTACCACAGAGACAAACACTTACGCAGGTCAACAAACGGAGGATTTTCAAAGCCAAATGACTTTGAAACTGCTTGCAAGTCCAACTTGTTTATGTCAAAGATATTCTTCAGAGAATGTGAATCGTAAGCACGAACGTACGCCTTGTAGGCTTCTTTTGCAGATAGATTTAAAAAGTAATTACGACTAATCAACTTTTCAATCTGTGGCTGAATGTTCAGAATTTTGCTCCATGAAAACTCATACTCGTTCAATGGAACCTTGGCTTCTTTGAGGTATTGCAGAAAGCCGCGTTCGTCCGGCGTCAAAAAGAGCAGAGCGTGCCCCTTTGCATCAACACCTCGAGCCGTTCGTCCGACACGATGAATGTATTCCTGGTTGATTGAAAATATTGCTGAATTAAACTGACACAACTCACAATAATCAAATGCTAAATACCTTTGGATCATCCGGGGGGTCATACTGCACAATCCAGTCGACTTGCGGAATATCGAGACCACGAGCAGCAACATCAGTACAGAGAAGAATACCCGATTCAGAGTTGCAAAACTGAAAGAAAGTTGTCGTTCGTTTGCTCTGCTTCTGTTTGCCCTGTAAAACGATACAAAAACAAGGTTGTGAATAAAGCAGTTAATTACATATATAGTGGACTTACATGAATTGACATCACTGGAAGATCGATGTAATTGAGAAGTTCATGGTGAAACTTTACCGACATGCAAGAGCTGAAGAAGACCATCACTTTTTTGTTTTTGTTCTTTCGCAAAAATGTAAACAGCAACGAGAATCGCTTGTCGCTGGACAGGATGCAGAAACCCTGCTGTAGCCCTGCAACGGTAGCGGCGTCGTCGCTATTTTCATTTGGATCTAAGCCCACGTAAACAGGCTCCTTCTTCAGTGCCAGCGAGATAAGATCATCCGTCTTCTTGGACAAGGTAGCACTGAACAGCATCGTTTGCCGTCTCGTTGGAAGAAGCTTCACAATGGCGCGCATCTCGTCTTCAAAACCAATATCCAGAATCCGATCCGCTTCATCAATAATGAGGCATTGAAGGTTTTTGAATAGAAAGTTTTTGGTGTTTTGTAGATGATCGAGCAGACGGCCAGGGGTGGCCACTAAAATGTTTACACCTCGAACAAGTTTGGCCGCTTCCGAAGATCGATTGGTGCCACCCATAACAAGACCATACGTTTGGTTGTGATACTTCATTAGTTCCTGCAGAACACCAAACGTTTGCATTGATAGTTCTCGGGTGGGAGATATAATCAGAACACCAGTGCCGTTGCGAGGCAAAAACTTTAGCTTATACATCAACTCGATGGCGGGAATCAGGAAAGCTAGTGTTTTACCACTACCAGTTTTGGCTGAAGCGACCAGATCTCTGGATAAATAAAATTACAAATGATTAGATAATGAAAAAAACACTTTTTAAACTTCAACATACTTTCCCTCGATGAGATGTGGAATAGACTTTGATTGAATCTCCGTCATGTGAGAGAAGTTCATTTCTCTAACTGCATTTAGAGTTTTATCTGAAACTTTGTCCTTTAAATCGTCAAATGCGCTAGTTGACAGCAATGACTTAACAATGGCCAATTTTGATGTGTCCACCAGCTTAGGACATTCTTCACCAGAAGCTTTCTCTTCTGTATCCTGGCCATTTTCTTTTGGTGGTGATTTCGTTTTGGATGATATCTTCAGTTCTATAAAAAGAAGATCAATATATGCACATTTTTGTAATTTACTGGACTTACTTTTCCTAGGTTCTTCCTCGACATCATCACTGACCACTGGCTCTTCATTATCATCAGCTGACTCTGCTTCATTTGAAAGTGGAGTTGATGAAAAGTTGTTTGTTGCGTTGAGTTTACGTTTCTTCTCCTTCAGCTTTGCATGCTTCTTCAACTGGCGTTTCACCAGTTCATCCAGATGTTTTGCCATAGTTAGATCAGCGGTGGACAGAAGATGGTTGAGATATCCAGGTAAAAATCAATTAGGTGCAATGTTCAAAGTAAAATTGTGACCCAAAGCATGAGTCTCGCGCACGTGGGAAAGCGAGCGAGCCAACTCTGCAGGCACAACAGCTGGCAGCTGCTCTCCACAGAGAGCATAACGCTACGTCTGTCAACTTTAATGCGTGGCATCTTACAGAGTCCCGGACTCAACACATTCCCAGTNAAGTAAAATTGTGACCCAAAGCATGAGTCTCGCGCACGTGGGAAAGCGAGTGAGCCAACTCTGCAGGCACAACAGCTGGCAGCTGCTCTCCACAGAGAGCATAACGCTACGTCTGTCAACTTTAATGCGTGGCATCTTCCAGAGTCCCGGACTCAACACATTCCCAGCTGTTTTGCAGGCTTGTGTTCCAGAAACTATATTTTAAAATGTAAGTCAAATACATCTTTTTACTTCCTATATTTTTACAACTATTTTTTCAAAGGGCTTCTGCGTCAGCTTCTAAAGTTACCTTCAAAATAACGCTAACATCAGATCCTAAATTACCCTTCAAAGTGTAAGTCTGAATAAGTGCTGTTTGTTGTCATTATAATCTCATTATATTCGTCTAGGCTTAACGTTCCTGAAAATGCGCCATTTACCGCCGTGTTAAAGTATGCCGCTGAAGAGGTAAGTTGGAAGAGCAACTGAAAGTAAGCGGGTGTTTAATTTTAATATGAAAAATTTAGTTTAAACAGAACCCGGCAACCAGTGCAATCATTACAGATGACGGCATCGGCATCAATCCTTCACAAACAGCTGGTGATGTCTTTCTTAAACATGGCTCTGAACTTCGTCTAATTCCTCGAGATCGCGTTGGAACACACCATTCTTAGGATTAGTAACCAATTCACAAATAAATTATTAAGCAAATAATTTTCATCTGAATTCAATACAATGTGTTGAGTTGTTCATCGACTTGCAGGCAAGAACTTCGTTCTGAAGTAGTCTCAAAAGCTCAGCTACTTTCTTGCGATCTAGGGCATAATCAAGTGATTGAATTTGTAAAGCGAAACAGTAAGATCGCTCAGATAAAGATTTGATATATTTATCTTTTAGCTTTACTGCTAAAATATTTGCTCCTAATAATTTTTTGGTCAGCTTTGGAAACTCCAACTTGATATCTAATTGACATTTGTCAAAGTCTTCACTTTTCCGGACCCAAAATGATAGATCTCGATTGTGAACTTGAGGATAGAGCGACCCTGTGGAGATAATCTTTTCTGGATGCTGTCCTTCAACAGGGTTCTTCATTATGGCGATGTGATCCGAGTACAGAATACGGCAGTCTTTGAGTTGCCAAAAGATTGATAAGCTCGCTTTCATATTTAAAAGTATTTCCTCCAATTTGAGTGTAGAACATTTTACTTCATTCACAACAAGACACCTGTCGACGATTGAAAAACGGGCACTTTCATTTACACTTGTTAGATACTCTCCAATTGTCTTCAGTACTGAATGCACTTCTTCGGATGCTACATTGCCAATAAGAACAGTAGGCTGAAGCGCCAAGTCAGTGACTGAAGAAACAAATGAGTTGGGCCAATCGTCCTTTAGTAGTTTTCGGATTGAGTCAGTAAACTGTTGAAAAGCTGGCAGTTGATGTATGAGTTTGCTGGAAAGGTTATTAAAACTACGGTTTGAAATACTGATTGAAACTTAGTTACTCTTCACACTTACTCTTTTGCCAGTTGCAAGCGTTGTGTAATGTCTTCTCTCAGCTCAAACTGAAAAACATTACCGCCTTGGAAATTGTTGAAAGCCTGATTTCGAAGTCGATAACCAAAGGGCTGATAAAAACTAATTCTTTTCATTATCTCAGTTGCTTCCTTTTCACAGTGCATTCTTTCGCTTGNACTCTTCACACTTACTCTTTTGCCAGTTGCAAGCGTTGTGTAATGTCTTCCCTCAGCTCAAACTGAAAAACATTACCGCCTTGGAAATTGTTGAAAGCCTGATTTCGAAGTCGATAACCAAAGGGCTGATAAAAACTAATTTTTTTCATTATCTCAGTTGCTTCCTTTTCACAGTGCATTCTTTCGCTTGAACACATCATACTGTATTGCTTCAAATTGTGTTTNGGCTGATAAAAACTAATTTTTTTCATTATCTCAGTTGCTTCCTTTTCACAATGCATTCTTTCGCTTAAACACATCATACTGTATTGCTTCAAATTGTGTTCGAATTGACTCTTCAAAAAGTGTAATGAGTTGCCCATGAGGTTGTCAATTAAATCCACTCCAAAGGATGTTACATTCGTCAAAACAAAATTACCACATGCAGCCATTTCGGTGAGCTGCCAAGAATCATTCCAGCTCCGGTGCCGTTCTTCGGGTTCCACTTCATTTAGACCACTTTGACCGTAACAGAGTGACATGTAAACAGTGGCTTTCAAGTGAGAGTGTTTTGTAAAAAGTGCTTGCATGCTTTTGAACGTTTTTTCAAGTAAATCCCGATTCAAGTGTATTTTCATTTTAACGTTTTTCACATGAGGAAAATTGAAAACGACGATCAACGTCGAATACTTGCCACTGGATAGAGTCCTCTCTAAATTTTGATTAACTTCAAGTTGAGTGCAATCCACATCTAGCCAAACTGGAACTTTTAAAGAGTTTAGTTCTCTTATGTTATCTCGAACTAATTCATCAACGATGAAAATGTCGGTCTGTTGATCATTGTCGTAATCGTTGGCATTTTTCTTATATAAATCTGTAGCAATCAAATCAATGTCTTGACAGTTTCCAGAATCATTCAAACTGGTGGCGAGAACTCGAGCAAAACTAAAATTGCCTTCTCCTGTCAAAAAGACGATTAAAAAGTTAATTTTAAATATTCTCAACTTAAAACTATCTTACCGAGCAATAAGATGAATTTTCGAGCCATTTTTTGGGATATTCTTCCAAAGGAGCGCACAAAAACATTTTTTCTCAGCTGTCAGTCTGTCCGTCCTGTCAACGCATGGTCACCGATTTTACCTCTGTTTTGTTTACATTTTTTCGGGCTTGTTTCTCACTACCTGTGGCTTGATAAGTGTCGTGCCAAGATCAGAATGTTAAATCTAAGCTTCAATAGCTTGATTGTCAAGTCAAATTACTACTTTTCAAGATCTATCTTGAAAACTGTGCCATGTTTTCTAAAAAATCACATCATGCCGGTACGTTTTGTTACAAGTTTGTCTAAAAGCAAAAACCAGCCCTCTTCAGGTAAAAACCAGTGTCTACATGTTTGATGAAAATTAATATGTGCCATTTTTTAATTAGTGGAGATTACTTATAAGAACATTGACAAAACAAAATACAATGTTTTGTTGTCAAATTCGGCTTCATCAGCTTCCTCCGGTCGCGCTGGTTTACAAATCACACAGGACATGATCGACCAAGTACTTCAACAATACGAGTACATCAAGTACATGGTTGGCCACGTTCCATCAGACTTGACGACGGAGAACATGTCAGATCTGATTCATATGCAAAAAGAAAAGGAAAGAGAACGCTTCCTTCGATATCTGTTTCTGACGGAAAGTCGAAAGCTCAAAGACCGTCAAAAGAAAGCTGAAAAATCAGCGCAATACCAACAGTTCAATGAGCAAAGGTCGGAGCGAACTTTTGGCATTTTTGATGAGCATGGCGAGCTGAGTTATCGTCTTTGGGGGAACACACTGATGTCACGAATCAATGCTCGTTGCATTTCTCACTTACGAACCGAACCAAAGCTTCGCTACGCCTCGCTTTTTGGCCAGAAGCTAATTATTGATCTTGACTACGATGAACTAATGACCCTAAGTGAATGTCGCATTCAAGTGCGCCACATTGTCATGATGATGGTGAACAATCTGAGCTACAGTGAGCCGTACGATATTTACTTCACCAATTGCGACCACACTAAACCGACTATGAAAAGCTTAGAGAAGTACTACGAGACGACACCTTTTTCACAACTGGCTTTCGATGATCATTTTCTTAGCAAAAGCTACCTGGATGCTTTTAACAAGGACCAGCTGGTGTACTTGACACCGAACGCAACCGAAAAGATGCAAGAGTATAATCACGATGATATTTACATTGTCGGAGGGTTCCTCGATAAAAGTTGCCTTAACAAGCCAGCCAGTCATATGAAGGCAACTCGTGAGGGTAAGTTCTTTTTTTTGTCAATTGATTAACCATTGAGCACTTATAATTTTATTAACACTTTAGGAATACGGCAGTACCGCCTTCCGCTAGATGAGCACGTTGTATGGGGCTCAGGGTCATCAAAGCATCTATGCATCATGCACATGGTTGGAATACTGAACAGCCTCAAAGAAGGCAATGACTGGTCAACGACGCTGCAGACTAATATTCCCAAGCGAAAGCTGAAAGACAATGAAGTAGTGCTGCGGGAAGAAGAAAAGAGGCGCGTCGCCTACTTGCGAAGAAAACTGTCAATTGAAAAGGATAACTTTAATTTGAGTAAACTCCAGCAGCAGTTGCTGTGATGATGGTGGTGATGGTGATGATAAGTACAAAAAAGTGTCTCAATTTGTGGGTACTACTTTTGGTAACGTTGAACCAGCGCATGAGTGAATGAGGAGATCAAGATGAGTATGCCGGCAGCGGCAAAGACGCCCGTGTAGGAGTTGGTCAGTTCGTAGAGCAGCCCTGCCAGAGGGGGGCCGATGATGCTGCTGATGCCTCGGAAGAAGATGACCAGCCCAAAAGTGGTGGACAGCAGGTCCAGACCGAGCAGGTCAACCAAGATGATGGAGGTGAGGGACATGTAGGATGCTGGAACAGTGTTTGAGTGGGTAAATAGTTAAACCTTTGTTAAACACTCACAGATAAAGAAGCCAAATAGAATGCAGTCAAGCATGAGTGTCCAGTAGGAGGGACAGAATGGAATGGCAATGGTGGCCAGTGCGGTGATCAGCAGGCAGCAGTTGTTGATCAGCAGTGCGGTGATCTTCACCGAGGAGCCGCAGATTCGCTTGCCGGCAAACTTGTCCGAAATGAGACCGAAAATTAGCCGTCCAACGACATTGGAAATGCCAATTGCCGAGAGCAGCAAGGCCGCCTCATTGGCACTGGCTTTCCTTTCGCCCACTGCCAAAGTCAGTCTTATTGATTAGTGAACGATTGAGGACTTTACATACCGTAAATGCTCTCCTCGGCGTATCCGGCAATGTACACATAGGGAATGTAGTAGCCCGACATGCCGAATACGTTTGCTATCGACAGCAAAGTCATCACTGGCATTTTGAGCACCGATAGGTCAAAGATGGCGCCGATTGAGCTTTTTGATCTGTCAGTTGATTTCTTTTTCGTAGCATTGGTTGTTGTTCTCTTCGGTGCAGGTGCCTCTGCTTCACCTTTGCTAGTCAGTGGCTCTGAGTTTATATTGGCATTCTTGCTTTCTTTCAGACACTTCTTCTTTTTGTCTGCTGTAAGTGGTTTCATTAGCATTCCGTAGAGCGTGCATGTTAGTGCGAGACCTGTAATGCATTTGGGAATTGGTTATGTAGTCGATTTGTTTTTACTCAAATTAAATACCAAACTGGTGCAACTATAAGAAAACGTGCTAAGACAATGTGCTAAGAGGCATACAAAGAAAAATCGTGATCCTGCACAGATATATGCTAATAAGTTGCTTTCAGGGATAATATTCTTGTAAGATTTAGAAAGATAAACAAAAGTGCATGGCAACAAAGAAGCCTAAAAAAGGGCAGACCGTTAAAATAGTTCATCTTCAGGTGCACTGTTTTTTGTTTCAGATTTTTCCAGTGCTTTCGGAATGTACGCCATGAGAATGCAAACATTGTTTTACGAAGCATTAGCCTGACTATTTAGAAGTGGCACGCAATGTAATAATCGTACTCTATAGATTCAAGCTGATACAAAAATGACCTCCAAAAGGGACACAAATGTCCTGAGGGGGCTGTTGCTAAATATGAGCCGATTAGAAATGTCAAGGTTTGATTACAAATAACAAGGTAACTAGCAGCGAAATACCGCTGACTAACTTTTGTCCACCAGCTGCCAAATGTCAATAAAATTTAATGAAACGAATTAAAATTGATACGCTGAAAGATTGCACTCTCAAACTTACTGGCTAAAATTCGAAGTGATGTTTTCCAGTGGTACGACTCAAGCAGCCAGGAGACCATTGGCGCAAATGAGAAGGCGCCCATTCCTGAGCCACAGACGGCGATTCCGGTCGCCAGTGCTCGCTTGCTGGTGAAGTAGTAGCCCACGGAGACGATGGACGGCAGATAGATTAGCCCAAAGAAGCCACCAGCTGCAGAGCAGAAACGAAGAAGAAGAGAAATGTGTGTGTTTTCGTTAGTTCTACTGATAATGGCCGTCGGCGAATCGTTCCTTACTAATCGTTCCATATGTCAATATTAGAACGTAGACGTTGGGTACAAAAGTTGATACGCCTAAAGAAATGGCTGCCACTATACTACCCACGATGGCCACTGGCCGACAGCCAAAGCGATTTACGAAACCCGATACGAAGAGCCCTTAGTGTACAGTGGGAAGGAGCAGAGTTATAATTGAAAAGCGCTCGTGAAGATTAGTGCAGGTGTCTCTGCACGCCATACCTGCAGTCATGTAGCAACCGCTGAGCAGAGAGCCAGCAAGGGCAGTGATCGCCTTGCCCGAGTGAAACTCCGCCATAAAGTAGGGCAGGAACAGGCCAAAGGTGTAGCAGATTCCATCGACGGTGAAGTTGCACATGAAACTGGCGAACACCACAATCCAGCCATATCCACCATCAGGTGCTTTGATCACTTCGGGGTCAAGTGGATCGGTGGTCGATTCACTGTCGCCCTCTTCTGACGCATCAATTGCAATGGTTGTTGAGAAGCGGCCGAATTCGACCGACTTGGCGTTCAGTGTAATTTCATAAGAACGACGCTTATCACTTTGAAATTCGGCATCGTTCATATTAAACTGGTTTTCGACTGTTTGATTTTGTGACATGTTCTATCGGCACTTGTTAGAAAAGATGGGTTTTTTTTGTAAAGAATGAATCAAATTGCGCCTAAACACCAGATTTTATTTTCAAGTAATGCTTTTGAAATAACGCACTAACTTGAAGAGCATTTAAGTCAACAAATTACATTGAAAAAACGATGAAGACTAGTGCAAAGCGGATGGAATGCGAATATTAACAAACTTATCAACCCGTAGCAAGTGATAAAAAACCGAAAAGACTTCACACTACCACAACATGATGGCGAAACATGTGCTAAAGACGCATTCGCGCCACACAAGAAGACCATGCGACTCACACGACCGATTACATTACTCGAAAGCCTAGGAGCGAAGCGTGAAGAAGGCGTAAAGAGAGATGGGTTATTTATGATTATGGCTAAGGGTGAGACTGATAAGTGGAGGTTGAAAGAGACCGAACACTGGGGTGGTTTGCTCAGTGGCGGCGTGCACTGATACCTTCACAGTCTTTGATATGAAATGTCTCATCGGCTACTCTCAAAATCAGTGAAGACAAAGTGAAATGAGCTGATTAAATGCTCTATTAGCTGGTCATTGTGTACTGAAGCGACGCAGGTGTCACAAAATAACGGAAAAGCCGTGGATCATGAAGGAAGACATCAAAATTGAGTGACAATAAACAATTACATCAGGCGAAGGCATCAGTGCTGGTGATATTCAATCGGACTAGAGCTGATTACTGACTTGTTATCGTTAACCAAATACATGTTTTCTATTTGTTGATTTGATTTCCTCACTTGTTCCTCACTGCTTCATCTTACGACATTTGATTTTCCTCTATGTGACAGCCAAGTACATCACACTGTTTGGGCATAACTGCCTCCCTTGATCACCACTGAGATCACCACCATCGTACTACTTTGAGCACACTGATTGAGCTTATTGATTTGAGACACAAGTGCCAAGTGTAAAAGTGCCGTTTACAGACAGAC